TATTTAATAATATTTAATAAATTAAAATTGGCAAATTGTTGCGCATACCTATAATGGATGCAAATCTAATAAGATGTCTATACTTAAAAGCTAGTTTAACAATTTCACTAAACTATAAATAAATGAAGTACAATTTATTATTTAATGAAATATATATAGTATTATAATTGTTATACATAATACATAAATTGTAAAGACATGAAGTAATAAAATTTGAATTAAGAAATCTTAGTTTTTAATCTATAAAATCAGTTAATCGTGATGATGACTTTATAAGTTATGAACGAAGGATTAATCTTTGATCATTGTATATGATCTAAGGGATTAATTAATAATTCATTATTATAATGTGTACTAAATAGCAAAGAGTATTTTTATTTCTTAGGGTAGGTTATATCTGTAACTTAACAGCTTACAAACTTACACAATACATCTGATACCTAATTTAGGCAGTTAGGTATAAATAATATATGTATATGACAACTAAATATTATTCAGTATRTAATTAAAAATGTATCTAAGTGGCTWGGTAATCCATACGTCATTAATTGTTATTTTTGTTATACTAACTACACTGCTACCTATTACTTTGCTGTTATTAAATACGGCGATAACTCGTTTTGGTTCGACATTTACACAGGTCAGTGGCAACTTGCAGCGATCAGTATCATTTTTTAAATTCTATATTATAAGTTTATTATTAGCAAATAAAAATATGATAAGCATTTTAAATTGTAGGTATTAACATTGCATTAACGCCATTAACATTATGACATTGTGTTGTGTCATCGTTATGTCTATTTAAATGTTTGTAAAATTAATTATATGTATTTATATCGAATACATAATGTACATCATTATATCGAATCCCACTTATCTTCTATAGATTATATGTATATATTACCATCATAGTACTTAATAATAATAAGATCCATAAATTGGGTACATATTTTTGTTAATTACGTGGTATATAAATATAGTAATATAATAGTTATTTAGAAGACAGAAGTAGTAGGTAAGGTAAGTGGTGATACATGATATACATGATATAATATTGTATTGAGTAACATATATAGGTTGTTGTAATAATTACCAAAATCAGCTACATAACTTACTAGCAAAATCTAGTTGATAAGTAGGTGCCTTCGATAATAAGATGCCACAAAAAATGTCATAATAAGGAACTGCTAATAATTCGTTTTTACTATTTACAACTAGGTATAGTATTTTATTAATCTTTGGCAAAACACAAATTAATTGTATAGTTTTCATCTAGTTACATGTTACATTGATAAATGATAGGTACTAAATAATAAAAATAATAAATTGTAATTCAAACTAAAACACACTAAAAACTAAAATGTAAGAC